CTTTTTCTCTTCCCCAGTTAAATCATGGATTATAAAATTTTCAGTGAGGGACTTTTAACAATTTTAACTAGATCTTGACCCGCACAACCGTGCAGATTTTCTTTTTATTTATAGTTTATAAAAAAGATGATCAATAAATAACAATATATTTATTTATAAAATCTTGCAAAATATCAAAGTGATTGATGTGAAAGTGTCATTTTTAAACACAACATGTAAATATAAATTATCATTACATATATTTATTTATAATATATCTAAATAAATGTTAAAATGTATTGTATGCAAATTGCATAAACTAAAACTCTATATTAAAGAATATTATATATTTGATTATTTTAGATTTAAATTTATGTATCAAACTCAAAAATATATTAATAAACAATAACAATCAATAAGAATATAAATTAAAATATATAAAACAAATTACTATGTATTAATAATGACGAATAAGAAACTTAAATAACAAAATTATAGAGTTATATAATATATAAAATTAAATGTAAATCATATATTTAATTTCTTATACTACTATCAAAGTTTTATATTTATAAAATGAAAAATATGTGTGGGTCAAACTCTAGTATATAGTTTTTATTATTTAGTTTTTAGAAATATATAGTGCTATCTAGAGAAATTTTAATTTCTTAAATAAAAATATCTGGATTTCAAATAAAAGATAAAGATATGAGATGATATTATAACTACATTATGTAAAATTTGATAATTGTTTTAGAGAATGATCGAAATAAAAAGTATACATGAAATAACTCACGACTTCGTTTTAATATATATAGATAAAAAAATTATAATATATTATTTTGTATAGTTGAAATAGAATTTCAGTATTTGTTTCTAACATAATCTATTTAAAATTTGTAAATAAATATATTCGAAACTCCATTAATTTATATTATTCTGATTAAAATACATTAGAAATATTTTAGATAATTTTAAATTTTCATTTATAAATAAAATAATAATTTTAAGGATATGTTCTGATAATTAGAATATAATTTCAATGGTTTACAAAATGCAATTTAAAAATATACCAAAAGGATTTTGTTGGATTTATTTTATTTGTATTTCAAATAGAAAGATAAAGATACTTAAAGATATTATCATTAAATTATGTAACATTTGACAATTTTTGATAATCTTTCTAAGGAATAGTCCATTTTTAAAAAAATCACACATGAAATCTAGATTGTGACTTTTGTTTTAATATATAAGATAATTTATAGGCATTTAAAAAAATATATATAACATCCGGAAAAGTCTAATTTTTAAGTATATGGTTAATGTGATCGTTTAATTATTGTAATATTTTAAAATTAAACAAAAATGATAAAGGGACACTAATTTTTGTCAAATTTTATTATTTAAAATCAATAATTGTCATATATACTTTAGCCATATTTGGTAATTCCGTAATTTTTTATTAAGGCAAAAATGAAAAACATTAACAATTAATTTATGATTAACTTAATAAAAAGTTTATTATATACTTATATGTACCAACATATTTTCTTAAAAATTCTAAAAAACATTGTGATGACGACATATAACTACCTCAAATGTTGTAATGTTTATCAAATAATATATAGGGGATATAATTTTTTTGTTGTATTTTAGAGATCAGATGATCGAGTACCAATACGGAAAATCTATAGCAAAAATTCAAATTTGGATACCTATACAAATGTTGTGTTTCATTGTTAGACTAGGTGTTCTGCCCGCACATGCGAGCTTAATTATCTTTAAATCTATTTAAAAATCATCAAAATAAATGATATTTGCATCCAAAAAAATTTAACCTAAAACATTAATTTTTTTTACATGATAAATTTATTCAAAAATTAAAAAAATATACTTCTTCCTTTTAAAATTTAAAAAATCTAAAGTCTATTTCATTTCTTCTTAATTAATAAAAATATAGAAATCTATCTTTCAATTTGAAAAATTGAATCGATAAATATACATTCAAAAATTGATCTTACAAAAAGAATAATATTAGTTTAGATAATAATACAATTAAAATTTATTTTTGCCAAACACGTTTTTTTTGTTTTTGAATGATTTTTTATTTTATTATTATAAATTCATGTTTAAGGATTACTTATATATAAAAATATAAAAATAAATTTAATTTAACGTGTGAGCTCAGAGGCGATAATAACTTCACAAATATATGTATCATTATATTATATTATTATATTCTTTTAATTTGCAAATAATTACGTATTATAATTTTTTAAATTTTTTATTTTCAATTATATACAATTAAAGTTTTTACTTAATTAATATTTATTTATGTGTTTTATGTTTTTGAAATTTTTTTATTAAATATATTTTCTGGATAACAACACAATATATATGGGAAGTATCTTTTTATTTTTAAATATATATTTAGATTATGGATAATTCTTATCATTATTATCAATTTAAATCATTTATCTAATCAAATAAGTATTAAATTTGTTTTTATTATTGGCTGATTTATATATTATTTTCATTAAGGGTATAAATGATATTAACCGCTCTAACTTTTAACGTGAGAGTTCCGTTGCGAAAAATCACTGATAAATTTATTCACAAATTAAAAAATATACTTCTTCCTTTTAAACTTTAAAAAAATCTAAAGTCTATTTTCTTTCTTCTTAATTAATAAAAATATAGAAATCTGTCTTTCAATTTGAAAAATTGAATCGATAAATATACATTCAAAAATTGATCTTACAAAAGAATAATATTAGTTTAGATAATAATACAATTAAAATTTATTTTTTCCAAACACTTTTTTTTTGTTTTTGAATGATTTTTTATTTTATTATGATAAATTCATGTTTAAGGATTACTTATATATAAAATATAAATATAAATTTAATTTAACGTGTGATCCCAGAGGCGAAAATAACTTCACAAATATATATATATATATATATATCTATATATATATATATATATATATATATATATATATCATTATATTATATTATTATATTCTTTTAATTTGAAAATAATTACGTATTATAACTTTTTAAAATTTTTATTTTCAATTATATACAATTAAATTTTTTACTTATTTAATATATATATTTATGTGTTTTATGTTTTTGATTTTTTTTTATTAAATATATTTTCCGGATAACAACACAATATATATAGGAACTATCTTTTTATTTTTAAATATATATTTAGATTATGGATAATTCTTATCATTATTATCAATTTAAATCATTTATCTAATCAAATAAGTATTAAATTCGTTTTTATTATTGACTGATTTATATATTATTTTCATTAAGGGTATAAATGATATTAACCGCTCTAACTTTTAACGTGAGAGCTCCGTTGCGAAAAATCACTTCGCAAATAATAGTATAGATAGGCTATGTCCTCATTTGGAGAGCAGGCCACATTTATTAGTCTTAGAAACTATATATTTTTCATGTGGCAGTAATATTGAGATAAAATCTCCAGCTTCTAGTGAATGGTCTTTAGTACATGTAATCTATTTATTTGTTGAGTGTGTGTTGTTTGTTGCCAAAAGTATATGCATACCTTTTATTGATAAATGTTTGCTTTTCTTGTATGTTGGTGACTTCTGTTTTCTACTTTTCTTCAGAAACACGTCTAAATGCGTTTTTGATCCCTTTTTTTTGGTACACATGTTTAAACTTTTTTATTCTTTTGATCCCTTCTTTAAGATGAACATGCAAAATGTCAACGACTTTAAAATTCAGTTGAACAGATGAAAACTTATTGAAGAAAATCGACAGCACAGCAGTGGACGTATTTTTGTCAGTAGACCAAGTATAATCGACGTCAGAAAATAGAGATATTATGATTTTACTTGCTGTCCAATTCCACAAATGACATTGAGATCTTATTTTTTTGCTTAAACATTTTTGCGATCTTTTACGATGACGGTATGGGTTTGCTTGTTCCAACGCAGCCTTAGCGTAAGCCTTCGTTCGTTACTCTTCTCCAGATACGATTCATACATACTCTAACATAATTTTTTTTTTTCATACTCTAACATAATTGCCACACAACAAACCAATCAAAATATAATAAAATAGTATGATAAAAGCATACAATGAAGGTAATATTCGACGAACCTCCTTATAGACATCCTCTCCCAGGCAAACAATTTTTTTGGTAAAATTAGAAATTTAACCCGATCTAGTTTGAGTTATCTTGCACGCTTTTAACTCTTCTTCGTCCACTCCACGTGTGTATCTCATCCATTCGTGCTCTTCATAATTATTGTCCAGATTATCGAAGACCAAAAGTATCAGATTCATAATCAACACCTTTTTGCCAAATAAAGTCTGCACGTACGTTAAAATCATGATAATTGTTTTTTTTTATAACTACATGTGTTACTGAATAGGTATAATACATTTAAACGTATACATATTTAAAAATTTGATCCATCTAATTTAATTTGGAAATAAATTTCAACTTGATTTATAAACTCTCATTTAAATTTTGATTTTTTTTATATGTCTAGACCAAAATTCAACTAATCTCAAGACAATATAGATGGGTATAACCTGATTCTGAATTTTATATTTTATGATAAAGATTAAGATGTTAACATTTTCGTCTAATTAATGATTGTGTTTGGGTTCTTCACTTTAACATCTTTTGGTATGAATTTACATACACAATCTTATTATACGTAAAATTGATTATTTTACAAATCATCTAAACGTATTTATGTTCATCAGTCAATAAAATAAAATAACCATCTGGCAATCTGCACACCGTGACAACAACAATAATTGGCGATTTGATCCGCCTGAATCCTGATCATATGCCGACGCGGAATTATCAAGGAACAAATCAATATTGCACTATTTCCTGTTTTTGATCATTTAAATTTTTTATTTTTTTATGAAGAATGTGTGAAAGAGTCTCTGGTAAATTTTCTTCTATACACTATAAATAAAACTATACAGCTCCCCCTCTATCTATCTCCTTCATTCAAACAACGATCAAATATCAAAAACCTTGAAGCAAAACTGCAAAAAAAAAGTCACAAAAAGTATTTTTCTTTCTTTTTCTAATCGGCAAAAAATTAATCTGGGTATTCCTGGGTTTGATCTTCATCTCCATGATTCTTTTATTTATTTGTTCTTCTTAGAAAATGATTTTCTTTTTCTCCAAGCTATTCAACGGCAAAGCACAACTAGCAGAGTGGGAGAGAGAGAGGTAGAAAAAACGTTTATACACACGTGTACACACATATCTCACAAGATTTATCACCACACAATCAGATTCGGACCAAAAGGTTTGTGTTCTGTCTGAGAATCAGATTCGTCTCTGTTTTTAAATTCAACTAGTGCTGATTCTTGTTATGTTTCTTTAGTTTACAAAGAGACGTCAGCGAGTTTCATGGCGATCACCACGGAGACAGAGTCTGCGACATGCGAATGTTGCCGTATGACTGAAGAATACACGGCGGCGTATATAGAGAGCGTACGTGATCTCTACGCCGGGAAGCTGATCTGCGGGCTCTGTTCCGAGGCGGTGAGTTACGAGATGTTCCGGAGACAGATCGGCGTCGATGAGGCGTTAGCGGTTCACACGACGGTTTGCGGTGAGTTTTTTTCTTCTCCGTCTCCGGCTGTCGATTTCATATCGGCGATCGGAGAGATGTTTAGGAGAAGATTGGTTCTTGGTTTGCCGAGGGTCTTGACGTCAGCATCGCAGTCGCCGAGGAGTGTTCCGGCTGCTGACGGTGGAGTGATTTGTGCTGCGGCGGTGATTGGTGGGGCTGGGAGTTGCTTGCCTGCTCTGTCCGGTGGAGCGTAGATTCGCATATTCGGGGAGGAATCAAGCTGAGTAGGAAGCGTGTGTGTGAAGGAATAAAATGTATTATAAAAAGTTAGAGAAAAGAGGTTTAAAAGGAAAAAAAAAATCGGGAAATAAAAAAAAGATGTAAATAAAATTGAAAATTTAGGATATCGTTTTGTTTGTATAATATACTGTAACTATTTATGTGACAATGTCAAATGTTGATATGGGTGCTTAGCTAATGGAAGTTTTGGTGTGGTAATAAATCTGGTTGGTGTTGGATATTTTTCTTTTGTACGAAATGATTTTAAACAAATTTATGTTGAGTTTTGGCCAAAAATGTTCGTTAAATAACCTAATGTTAAGGCATATAAAACTGTTACCTAATATTAATATCAGTTTAAATGAAAAATAAAATTTTAAATAATAATTTGAAAAGTTTGAAAATTTGGTTAATGCTCTAAATAGTAGCTAAATGAATAAATGAAAATTGGAATTTGTTGACAAAAAAAAAAAAAAAATTGGAAAGTTAATTATTTTTATTCCAAAAATACACTATCTAAAAAAGAATAGTTTCCCATATGATCATTTTTCTTTTCAAATGATTTATAGAACAAAATCATTATTATCAAATTTGAGAATGAACAAAAACTAACATATATATATATATGTTTCATTTCTACTGTTTCTTAAAATATATAAAATATTTAATATTGGATATTTAGATTTATATTTGTTAATTGTATTTTAGGTTTATTAACTTATATTGCAACCATGTTTACCTTGTGTTTAACGAACAAACGGGAAAAAAATCATAAAAAATACGGTAAAATATTTGGTGTTTGAAATGGCCAAATCATAGTAAATATTTTTATTTAATCCCCTATATATTAATTGAGGAACATTTGAAAAGATGTAACCTCAATTTTGTATTAATTAAAAGAGACCCCAATGCATAGGTGTCATTCAATTAGGTAGTCAATTAGATTCAATTGAAAAATAAGTAAGTCCACATTAGATTTTTATAGGTTGCTAGATACATTAGTTAGTCAAACTATATGAAATAATGATATGATATGCTATTTTCTTTCCATAAATAAAACATACGGAATTACCATAAATGACTAATATATATATATGACACTTAATGATTGTTCCCTAAGATATAATTACTATTTTATTTTATTTCCATAAATAAAACCTACGAAATTACCATAAATGACTAATATATATATATATATGACACTTAATGATTCTAATAATAAATATTTGATAACAGTTTATATATCCTCCATCATTTTTTCTTTAATTTTATATTATTAAAATAAATTAAACAATCAAATTAGCTATAAAATTAAACTTTAGATTTTTTCGTATAGGTTATATTTTGAATTTTAAGAAACGAGAATAAATAACTAAACTATTAAAATTATTATGTTAAAAATTAATGATCAATAATTTAACATTTTACTATAAAAAGATATACATGATTTTAAAACCATATAAGTAAAAAATATCATTCAATAATAAATATATATATATATATATATATATATATATATATACAAATTAAACTATATACCATATAAGATTACATAAATATTTTAATTTCAAAATTTTCAAGAACATTTATAAATTATAAACTTATTAAATTTTTCACAATGAAATTTTTTGTTATCAATGATTTAAATATCTTAGTTCTCTTTTAATTTTATATTTTTAAAAGATATTAACAATCGATAATATGGTTATTTTTGGTATATACCATATAAACCGAATAGATGTGATTTTATAAAAACCATAGGATTTGGATATGGTTTGATTTATTATCGATTAAACTGAAACATGTAAATATGTATATATTTATAACGACGTATGAATATATATTTGTTACATGAGTTGAACTATAATTATAATTTGTAAATAGCTAACAATTTATTACAACTAAGACTTCTTATTTTGATCTTTTGCTTTTTTAACAGTAACTAAATTGAAGTAAAGATTATAAATTTGATGGACAACAATTAGTTGAAATTCTTTACAACTTTTTTTTATCTTTAAACAAACAGAGTTGTGTTCAATCGAAGACATATTAGTTTGATGAACACTAAATATGGAAGAATATAAAACTTTTCTTTCATGCTTCTGTTTTGTTTTTTATTTTTATTTTAAAATTTAGTGTTTTGATATTAATTCTAGATTTGATCATTTTATTAGATGATAGAAGCTTTTTTTTGTTTTTTATTCTTTTATTTAAATATATAATATTTTTTTTAATAAATGACTCTGTGACAATATGACTCTAAATATGATCATATTATATATTTGAATAATATATAATATGATCTCAAACTAAATAATTATGTTTTTTGGTATAAAATTGAATAAACTGAAAACCGATGGTATATAAACCAAATCAAACTGAAGTACATATAGATTTAGAATAGTAGTTATATTTTAATGATCGAAATACCAAAAAATCGAGCCGAACCGAAACCCGATATCCGGATTGAATACCTCTAATCCGAATGAAACCGAACTATTGTTTCATTTTTAAAAATATAATAAAAATAATAGTTTCATCCCGCGCAAGGCGCGGGTCTTATCCTAGTTATATATGACTAACGAATGATATGTGTAATGTAATGTGTAATGTAATGTGTGTTTCTAACAAATGGACGAGAGTTTTTAAGAAATTAAGTCTGATTAATAATAGTCGTCTTACGGCATTTCTAATAGTTATATATTTTTTTTCCTTTGTTAATTACACCAAAATATAAACTTTGTTATTGAGTAGATTTTACTCTAACGTTCTATTCTATAATAAAATTATTATATTATAGAGTGAAATATAGAGTAATATCATTTTTATTCTATATTTAGAGTGGAAAAAATGACATTATTTTATATTTGACACTAATAGAGTATTTCTATTATAGAATAAACTATTGAAACAAAAATTATTCTATAATAGAATTATTTTATTTTTATATAAATTATAGAAGAAAAAAATAAATAGCTATTTGAGATGGTTTTACACTTCTGCGTGTGTGAATGCCAAATGGATATATGATTAGATTATTTGTTGTTTTTAACTGAATTATTAAATTGTTGTTCCTGGAGCAGGATTGGAATTATGTGTAACCTGTTTTCTGACCTAATATTGCCTTCAGTAATTAAAAAAAAAAGTTCAATGGAAATCTATACTATTATATAAGAAGTAATTTTGTTTAGTTATCAACTTCTCCTTGATTTTAGGTAAATTTGTTTATTTATCTTATTTAAATAATTTCATATACAATTTCTTATTTAATAAAAATGAATTTCTATTAATAATATTATACTTTTAGAAAATAAGATAACTCTTATGTATTATATTGTTATCTTTAAAATATATATTTTTATCATAGAAATTAAAAATTAAGTTAAAATATTAATAGTTAAATATAAAGAAAGCAATGCTGATTTATCAACTTCTCCATGGTTTTATACTTTGCTTATTTATCATATTTTAATAATTTCATATATAATTTACTAAATAATAAAACAAAGTATATAATAATAATAGTTTTTTTAAAAAAACAAGATAATTCTTATGTATTAGATTGTTATCTTGAACATATATTTTCTATTAGAAAATTTAAGTGAATTATCTGATTTGTAATTTCTACATGATTTAGATAATTCTGATTATTTGTCATATTTTTAATTCATATAAAATTTATTATAAAATAAAAATGAATTTCTATTAAAAATTATATTTTGAGAAAATAAGATATTTCTTATGTATTATATTTTTATCTTGAAATTATATTTTTTATTATAGAAATAAAAAAATTAATATTGAAAAAATTATAATTAAAATAAATTAAAACAACACATTTGTAAAAATATAATTTTAAAAATATTTTGTTATGTGAGTGTTGTCATTTATGATTAATTTAAAAACATAAATCATAATTTATTATATTGATTTGAATTAATAAAATATGGATTAAGAATAAATTGTACGAAAATTATACCGTATGTGCGGGAAGATCCTCGAGGTTCCACTAAGTATTTTAATTTTTCAAAATATAATTTGACAAAACTTAGCCGACTTCTACGAAAGAAAAACGTTGCATCACCACAAGGAATAATGCTTCGTGATATGCTTAGATAGCTATATCTATTATATAGTTTTATTACTTGGGTTCTTATTTTTTAATCTGCCAATAAAGAGGTCTAGAAACGGAAATTTGTATACACATCGAAGCATCAGCATCTTAAGATTGGTGTGAGAGAAACAAGACTTTTGTTGGTCCTTGGCATATTCCTTGCTCCAAAGAAGCCAATTTGATATTGCTGACCTATGGTATGATAACCAAAAGGTTTATAACAAGTTTGTATAGTAAATAAAATAATTTAAAAAGAAAAGTAAGTATTATCTTATAAAATTTTCATATTTAATATAAATATTTTAATAGTTTAATTTTATGAATTAGATCTTATGAAAAATATCGTGCGTTTTAAAAGCACGGACTGAAATCCCATAACCAAAAGACTTATAATAAGTTTGTCAATTGTTTGACAGTGAGAATCGTTATAAGTACCTGCTTGAAACTCGTGCGACCACTAAATATCTTGGCTACCTTTGCCAACCGCTATTAAAATTCGTCGAATACAAACACCACTTCAACCTTTGATAACGATCATATATTAATTTTAAGTTCAATCGTATTTCATTTACTATTTACTAGGTTAAGAAAAATATCAATCATCACTTCAGTTCAGAAGTCACCACTATACGTGAAGTCAAATGCAACACTATTTATTTTTATTACTGATAAAAGCGTAGTAAATAGTACTCCCTCCGATTTAAATTAGACTGTCGGTTTAGAGTAAAATTTTCATTTCAAAATAAATGTCATCTTATAATTTAAATACAAAATTTATTAATTTTAAATGTCATTATACTTTTTTATTGGTTGAAATGTGGTTAGGTGTATACGTAAATGTGTTTTTATTTTGAAAACAAACAAAATTAGTTGTTTTTTTTTTAATTTACGTGCAAAAACCTAAAACGACAAGTAAAATGAAACATATGGACTAATTAACTTTTTCAAGTCCAACCCATACAAACATGGCGCCAAATATAACACTAAAGCGGTATGTAAGTCTCTGGAACCTAACCGAAGTTGATTCTTTACGCTAGAGGTAACTCGTTTCCATAGTTGATCGTACTGTCAAAAATATACCAATCTAAATAAATTTAAATTGGATAAGGTTGTAATACCCCGTTTGTTCACGGTTAATGGGTTATCTATGTCCGTTTTCTTTGTATGTGGGCCT